GTGATGATTTATGTTGATGTTGTTTAGAGTAGGATGATTGTGTTGATTGCATTGAATTTCTTCTACTTAGCATCTGTTGTGCTGCACTTAATGTGCCCTGCACTATACCTTTTGCTTTATCAAGGAAGGTTGGTAATGTTGGTGAGCTTGGTCTTGTTATTGTTTTAGATATTGTTTGTTTTGGTATTTTGGTATACTGATTTTTATCTTGTTTGTTTAACTATTCTAATGTTCTTCCAAAGTTATCATCTAGTAGCCATCTATCTGCTATTTGTTCTGTTTCTCGTGGTTCATTTACTGTTGGCTTATATTTTTCGGAATATGGATATTTTGGTGGTAATGTTTTTGGTAATTCTAAGCCTTGTCTTCTGGCTTGTTGTTGTTCTTGGAACATTCGTTCTTCTTCGTCTTCTACATCATGCATTTTATCTAGGTTTTTTAGAGATACTCCCAATAGTTCTCTATATTTTGCTTGATATTGTTCTTGTAATGGTTTACTTTCACATAGTTCTATTTGTCTGGCGAATCTTTCCATTAAGATTCATTGTTCATACTCTTGTATTGCTTCAAAATCTTTTCTGTCTAAGTTTAGTGCTTGATTAGTTGCATACCTATATTCTTCTTCTAGATCTTTTACTAGATCTTTATTCTTCCAGAGAATAGCATCTTTTGTTTCTGTTAATACGGATATTGTTTTGTATAGGTAGACTTTTTATCTTCTGCTGTTTTTGCTTCTAATATTTTTCTATTTGTGACTCTTTCAATTTTCTGAATATGCTCATTAGTTTGTTGTTTTGATAATTAGGAAACATATTTATAATTTGTTTCCATACTGTTTAATCGTTGTTTTAGCTATCTTAATCCAGTTCTAATTCTTGAATCTTCTTGTTCCTTTTCTTGTTGTAAGATTTGATCTAATTGTGACAATTGTGTTTTAATAAATATTCCTATTTTTGGTGTTTTGACTTTGCTTCCTTCTTGTTAATTAAAGTTGATGTTTAAGATTTTAGCTTTTTCTTTTTTG